GCCTGTGACTAGAAATGCACAAAAAAAATCAGAAAGCGATATGTGAACCAGCATATTCATGTGTGCATAGACAGTCGAACATATTTAGAACAGTTTTCTCCCATAGCACTGGTTTTATTCATACATTGTGTGAATCTGATCTGGGCTCTAAGTCACAGCAATGGACAATGAAAGGGCTGACATGTTGGTCAAGTATGGCTCAAGTAGTCATTTATCACTGTGCATTTATAATGGTAAAACTTAATATCTGGGAGCAACGTATTTATCACCTCAGGACATCAAAGAGGCTCCAGCAGAGCTAATGCTTGCCTTCGCACGTAGCATGGGCCTGTTTCCAACTTACATTAATAGTCCTAAGTGGTGTGGATTACCGCATTGCTTGCACAACAACAACAAAAGCTTATGGAGTGACGCAAATTGGAAAATCAACGCTTTAAGTAGAAGCAAAATAAAAGTGTCACAGGATATTTAACAGGTCTCTGTCACAGGTCACTAAAATGAAGCGCAAGTAGACAGAGCATCTGAACATTTTTAATAAAACAATGCTGCAATATAAAATTTTTGAAATTATGTTTTATTCAATCAAATAAACAGTCGAGTTAATTATTTAAAATGCACTTTAATTCCTGTGTGTACGCCGCCAATGGGGAGTACAGCGGCAACCTACAGTGCACGCGGAAGGAGATAGTTCGGATCAACGGTGACGAAGCGAAGTCAGTCAGTTGTTGTTCCGCATTTGGTAGTCACATCTAACTGTGAAATTGAATGTATTTTATCACTGGAAGCCAACAACAGATTGCTTTGGTTATCCTGTAGACAAATCTATTGTCTAATTAGCGACCATTATTTAGAGTGAAGCAACGACGAAGTTGGTATATTAACAAGCCATAAAAAATAGAAGAACTCTAAAATTTGTTTAAAGTACAAGTCAAACTCGATGTACTTCGTTTAATTATTTACTGAAGGAATTTCGATAATATAAGCTCTATTGTTGATATTTTTGGATGTGTTACACAATAATGTACTTATGTAACTGCACTGTTTTATATTTATTCTTCTTCGTAGAATAGAATAGATTGCTTTAAGTCCGCTTATTTATTTATTGTTCTTTATACCATTGTATTATGTTATACTATTATATTATTTTTTCGTTTTCGCTTTTTGTATATTTTCTCAGTAACTGGGTTAATTCGTTGACAATAAAGTGTATTATTATTATACCTACATTATTTTGTAATCAATCAATGAAACTTCAAAACGATAAAAAATATTATTTAGGGTACGATCATAGGCATGATCTTGATAAGACTTGGTACAAAATGTCCAAAGTGGACACTACGAATTTGCAAAGACATAATTTGTCTTTGCAAAACATTTGTTTAATAAATGTAAATGAATCGCGAGATCTGAATGAAAAGTGTTATTAAAGTCCCTGGATTGAAGTATTCCGCTTAACATTTGCAATTATGCTGCTTTGGTAAAATAAGGAAGCATTGATACGTTAACAATAAAATTTCACATCAGTATCAAAGGTAAGTGAGAAATTTTCTAAGCTTTCTAATCAAAGACAAACGATTTTACTACGATTGTTCAAATTAAAATTTCTTCTGGTTTTAATTGTGTAACATGTCAGCAATCTATATAGTTTTGTACCTCGAGTATTTGTCATGAATCATGAAACCTTATACTATCAATTTTTCGATTTTGAGAGAAAGAATCTTTTTTATATCATTGTTACCTCTTCAAATAAGAATAATTATTGTCAAAAAATGTGAAGAAAATCTGATTTTTATACCTATCTAGATGTTCGGCGCCATAAAATGTACTGTAGGTATAACTCACGAGTTCCTAATTTTTTTAACTATAAATATACGAGAAAATGTCATCCTTCATAAAATTGCTTATTTTTTCTTAAACTAAAAAAATCAAATATGGCCAACAGCAGTGTCGCAATTTTTTGAAATATCAAAAAGTATTGCATTGTTAATAATTCCAAAAAGTTCGCAAATATAAAATTTAAGTTATTTTGCAAAAAAAAAGAGTAATAATTACCACCTCATTTCATGGCTACAGTCACAGTTAATTATCGTAATTATGCCAGAAATAATTAACAAATAACTGATTAAAACTTAGTGACTTCAGATCGGGACTACAAAATTTTTTCGTTTTTTCCTGTTCCAGGTTGTAGAATCATCCAGAATCCGAAACTTGTGGTATCAAGTAAGTTTTCAGAGATCACAATGCAACCACGATCCAATAATAGAACAAGAATATGCAGCATAATTTTATGACTCCCGACAAAAAAAGCAATGGATTTTAATTAATCAGTTCTAAAATAGTTATGAGACCATAAGGTTGTCTAAATAATCTAACTGTCGTGAAAGATCTGTCCAAAGAAGGTCTTAAACTAAAATTTTCAATTTTTGGAAAAACTGGCCTATTTTCAAAATGCCGTAATTCGGTAACTAATTGACCTACAGAACTCCGGTTAGGCTTAGTTTGTCACAAATTTGAAGCTCTTAAAAAACGTATAGAATAGCTGACGACGAAAAATGCATGGATTAGGAGATATAGAGCAGAATCTGAAACAAGTCCAAAAATTTCGCGGTTTTTGGTATGTAAAAATTTTTCCACAACTTTTTGAGAGTTGCAAACTTGGGTATACATAGCCCTAATGGGTCCAAACAACATACTAAAAAATCAGAGACACATCTTGTTTTGCGAATTTAGCGATTTTTTGTGTCGATTTTGACCGGCCTATTACTTTGATCATTTATTTCTAACAGACCAAAGGCCTGCTACATGGCTATTTATAATGAGTAGAGGTACGCTAGGTACCTACCATGAATATTATCGGAAATCCCGAGTTACCTGTTTTAGGTAACTAAAACTTTAAATCACTTTATTACAAATTACAGGAACCGTAGGATTATACGATAATATCCTTCATAATGGTAACAAAGTAACAAGTAAACAAAGTTGTAAAAATGTAAAATTTACCTAAATACAAAGAACTGCTTAGCCCTAAATTTACAAATAAGTGATTAACATAAATCTTATATTTAGGTATCCACAGGATTCTGTACAACATAAATATCTATAATTTTAAAAAAATATATATTAAGTATCTTCGCTGACTACATTATTCTTAATGGCCACTGTGGTAACATGATAGTTTGATCGACATATCACATTTTATTGCCATTTGTGCACAGAGACAGGCCTTTAAAGCCGCTTTGCAGTCTGCAATTCTTTCTGCAAGTTACACTGAGCAGCAGTGTATTGCAAAAGTTGTCTTATCTGAAAGACTCTTGCACTTTTGGAATATCGGTTTTGTTCGATTTTATTGCAGCTTTTCTGCAATTCTGGGGAATAATTTAGTAATTTGTATGGTTACCACCTATATAAAAGTTCCTAGGCAGAACTATCAAATTCAAATGTGTTAACTGAAAATTTAGAATGGTTGTTATTAAGACATACCTACTTGTAGAATATGTGAGACTGAAATCTTTATTCTGAAGGTTATGGTTACTTGGCAATGTTTATATTTGGATAAACGAGTTAGTGTAGTGTGCATTCGGTTTGAAGTGTTGGTATAACTTCTATTGCAATTGCGAATTGACAACTGTAAAACAAACCGCGAGTCAGAATTTCGGAAAAGGTATTGCAAGTGAAAGGGCTTACTGCAAGTCATTGTAGAAAGAATTGTGGAATGTAAAGGGGTTTTAAAACAACAATAAACAAATTTCTGTTTTCCTTGTGAAGAATTTTATGGTTATGTTTGTGTATTTAACGTGAATGTACTACAAGTAATCTATATACAGATTTAGGTTGTATATTAAATATTAACATACTAAAATGTATACAAAAATTTGATATACTGTTTGATTAGTGACGATGCTCAAATTATTTTTCAGTTGGGTGAAAACATTTTCAGTACAAATAGCAGATATTTGTGGTATATTTACGTATAATATTGAGGCTCTTCTATGGTGACGGCCAATTAGAATATTTCAAAGACTACTTCGATTTCAATTTTGGGGTTTTCGGTGTGCTCTCTAAATAAAATAATGCCATTATTCCGGTTATACCGGAAGTAGCTGTCAAATTCGTTATTTTAAGTGGGACACCCTATATCTTGCATTGACGAAAAAATAAATTAAAAATAAGTCAAATTTGTACCCGTACATACCTAACCGTTTTCGAGGTAACCGATAAAAATTTTGACAGATGCAAGCGTTTCGGAAATTCCTTATATCTTTCTTCCTTCTGGGACACACAAAGAATATAAGATGCACTTGCACTATCAATATCACTTGAAGAAAATTATACCAAGTGAACCATTTTTTACGTTATATTTTTAAAAACTCAAAACCGACAAAACCTTTTAAATTCAAATGGAACACTCCGTGTTTTTTGCACCATATAAATTTTCAAAATGTAACGTAAAAAATAGGATACTTAGTAATCTTCAGATAATTTTGATAATGGAACGTAGTAGAAGAAAGATATAAGCAATTTTCGATAGGTTTGCAGTAGAGGGAATCTTTAACATTTTTGATATTTTAAATTTATCTTGTAGATAATGCAATAATATACAGAGTGTTTCGTTTAAAATAAGCAAGTACATGGCGATTTCCGGTATAACCAGAAGTGCTACGACAATGGCATTATTTTATTTAAAGATAGCACCCCCGAAAACCTCAGGGCCCAAATTTTCAAAATTCAAATCGAAATAGACTGAAATATTCTAATGGGCCGTAAAACAGCCTTTAGGTATTATATTTCTACTGCGTTTAGATGTATCTAATTGTTTTAAACATAACACGACACGTTGGTGCTGCTAGTTGAAAATATGAAAACCAAGGTTTTTTGGCTTATTTTTGATTTCGTATCAAAATGTTGGCAATTGTTTGGTCGAGAGGAATTTTGGTTGTGCTTTCGCCCAATAACACATGTCCCTAGCACCACCACAATATTTGATAAAAATCATGTATTACCTCAAAGAGTTGTCCAGCGGTAGTCGAGTTCGGATTACAAGTGACATCCAGTTTCTGCCCATTTAGCATGATAACTGTAATTGTTTTTCTGCCACTTCCCTTGGTATCCGGCATAGTAAGCTGTTTATTTGGCAGTGAGGCTCTGACGACAAATTCAGGCCCGATACAGTCTCGGTTTGGCGCACAACTGGCTCCATTAATTGGCACGTCAATTCCAGCTCGATAAAGTCTCGAGGCGGCCCTCTGAACGGGGTTCCGTCTTGCCTTCAGTCTTCTGTTGTTGCCCTGTAAATCATCCAATTGTGCTCAATTACCAATTTTCCTTTTTTAATTATTTCGCAGCTGACAAGAAATATAACTGAAAATCCCGATATTGTTTTCGGATTACGAACAAAAAACGTGCTTGGACTACTGAAAAATATGTGTATAAAATGTTACAGACGTACAGGGTGGTCACGCAAAAATTACCCCGTCCTCTTCTGCGTTATTGCTCGATATCGCAGAAAAGTTAGGAATAAAAATTGTAACGATTTTTTAAGATTTTTTTACACATGCCACAAAGACAATTGCATTTTCGAAATTTGGGTCTAATTTATGTTATCTCTTTTTGGATGGAACAACCTGTACACCACTGAAAAGACCGTCAAAATACTTTTCAAACACATTTTATACAGGGTGTCCCAGGATGGGCAATCTCTCGGATTTATACAGGGGACGTTAAAATAACATGAAAAGTCCTTATAAAAAGCCTCCTACGGAGAAACAGACCCCTAAAGGACGGACGCCCTTGAAAATCTATTTTTTTAATAACTTTTACTTTGTGTAATTTAACTATTTTTTAATGCGATAGACAATAGATAAGACTCCTTAAAAATTGACCCAAGAAAACAATTTGGCTTATTTGGTTTGCCAGGGGCGGACTAGCTGTAGCACATTAATGCCAATTTTTTTTACACCCTTTACGATAAAAGCAGAAAAATAATATTTTTAGATAGTCTGAACCTTAAACTAAAAAAAGGAACTCTTGGTTGATATCGATAAAATAACTGTTTCCGAGAAAAAACTATTTATGTTTAATAATTTTTAATACACAATTTTGTATGTCGGTTCAACTTGAGCTCCTTTTAATGCATTCCCTAGTTATACGAAGATTGTTGCATCCTACACAATGCTTTAACATTGGACCTTATTTCGCGACAATGAAAATTAATCCTTTCTGATTTCCCTAGTGTCGACTGGATTGGTATAAACTAAAGTTTTTAAATATCCCTATAAAAAAATATAATGGATATAAATCTGGTGATCGAGGAGGCCAAGCCACTCCGAGGAATAAAAAAAATAAGGAAAATATGACCAGTTTCGACACACTCTATCGTTAACTGACTCAGGTAGGTACTATAAATCTTATTTAAATCGGTAAATGTAAAAAAAAACAACCATAACAACAAAAAAAACAACGGAAAACACAAGTGTAAATAAAAGTGGCATTTTTTAGATAGGTACAGAAAGAATGCAAACATCGGTTTATTTCTCTTTACGGATGTAATAAAAATCATATTACATGAGAATAGTTTTTTCTCGAAAACCGTTCATTTAATCGATACCAACCAAGAGTGCCTTTTTTAGTTTATGGTTCAAGCTATCTGAAAATATTATTTTTCTGTCTTTATCCTAAAGGGTGTAAAACAAATTGATTATCTTTAATGGTTTACGAAATATTACGTATTTTATACAGGGTGTTCCTAAATATCATGTACATAAGGAAGGAGATAATTCTTTGGCTTATTTCATGACTAAACATAGGTCCGCAAACCCTTCGTTACCGACCTACAGGGTGTTGAAATTTTAAGATTTTTTTTGTTTTTTCTCTATAGCTCCCACAGTTTTTGAGATGTTTAGCCCAAATTTGGAATATAGGTTACGCTGTAGGGCTTACATCATTGGACATGCCAAATGGTCCTGATATTCTACAGAGTGATATTTTTTCGGGGTTCATGGCGCATGACCTTCTCTTCCCCTGAACTTTTGTGCGGTGCGCTGCTGGTAGATTCTAAAATCAAAATTGGATTGTATGTTTTGTTGGAAAACTTTTTTGCCTCTTATGATTTTTTCGTATCGGCGAGGGTTATCTAGAGAAAAATAAAAAACGATTTTATGTAATTCGTTAGATGAAATTTAAATTCTTAAAATGGCCCAGTAGGCTCCGGCTTTAGTTAGATAATTTCTTGTTTCTATTAATTTTGACAGTTCGCATTTGAAATAGTAACTTGGGTCTGCATAATGTTTAAAAATTAAAGGTTTATGTGACAAACTGTAAGGTGTAAATGTGTTTTAAATACTCATTATATATAATCTCATAACAATGCCAAATTTTACGAATTTTGAAAGGGGTCATCCCAGCTTTAATTTTTAACAGGTAGTGGCGAATAAACTGTCAAAATTAATAGAAACAAGAGATTATCTAAATAAAGCCAGAGCCTACTGGACCATTTTAAGAATTTAAATTTCATCTAACGAATTACATAAAATCGTTTCTTATTTATTTTTTTTTTCGATAATGGTCGCAGATACGAAAAAATCATAAGAGGCAAAAAAGTTTCCCAACAAAACATAAAATTCAATTTTGATTTTAGAATCTACCAGCGGTGCACCGCACAAAAGTTCAGGGGAAGAAAAAGGGCAGGAACCCCGAAAAAATATCACTCTGTAGAATATCACGACCATTTGGCATGTCCAATAATGTAAGCCCTACAGCGTAACCTATATTCCAAATTTGAGCTCAATATCTCAAAAACTGTGGGAGCTATAGAGAAAAAACGAAAAAAATATTAAAATTTCAACACCCGGTAACGAAGCGTTTGCGGACCTATGTTTATATGAACTTTTAGTCATGAAATAAGCCAAAGAATTACCTCCTCCCTTATGTACATGATATTTAGGAACACCCTGTGCGGGTGGCCTTGGGAGAATAATGATAATTAAAAAAAATATGTTAAATCTGTAATTTAATTAATTTATTTAATTAATTAATTATATTTAATGATGGTTAAGTGGAAGAGTACGATCACGTGAACTTCGCCATCTTGTTACAATTGTGTTCAAATTATGTACTTGACGTAATAAAGACACTGTTATTATTGTTATTATTGTTATTATTGTTATTATTGTTGTTATTGTTATTATTGTTATTATTGTTATTATTGTTATTATTGTTATTATTGTTATTATTGTTATTATTGTTATTATTGTTATTATTGTTATTATTGTTATTATTGTTATTATTGTTATTATTGTTATTATTGTTATTATTGTTATTATTGTTATTATTGTTATTATTGTTATTATTGTTATTATTGTTATTATTGTTATTATTGTTATTATTGTTATTATTGTTATTATTGTTATTATTGTTATTATTGTTATTATTGTTATTATTGTTATTATTGTTATTATTGTTATTATTGTTATTATTGTTATTATTGTTATTATTGTTATTATTGTTATTATTGTTATTATTGTTATTATTGTTATTATTGTTATTATTGTTATTATTGTTATTATTGTTATTATTGTTATTATTGTTATTATTGTTATTATTGTTATTATTGTTATTATTGTTATTATTGTTATTATTGTTATTATTGTTATTATTGTTATTATTGTTATTATTGTTATTATTGTTATTATTGTTATTATTGTTATTATTGTTATTATTGTTATTATTGTTATTATTGTTATTATTGTTATTATTGTTATTATTGTTATTATTGTTATTATTGTTATTATTGTTATTATTGTTATTATTGTTATTATTGTTATTATTGTTATTATTGTTATTATTGTTATTATTGTTATTATTGTTATTATTGTTATTATTGTTATTATTGTTATTATTGTTATTATTGTTATTATTGTTATTATTGTTATTATTGTTATTATTGTTATTATTGTTATTATTGTTATTATTGTTATTATTGTTATTATTGTTATTATTGTTATTATTGTTATTATTGTTATTATTGTTATTATTGTTATTATTGTTATTATTGTTATTATTGTTATTATTGTTATTATTGTTATTATTGTTATTATTGTTATTATTGTTATTATTGTTATTATTGTTATTATTGTTATTATTGTTATTATTGTTATTATTGTTATTATTGTTATTATTGTTATTATTGTTATTATTGTTATTATTGTTATTATTGTTATTATTGTTATTATTGTTATTATTGTTATTATTGTTATTATTGTTATTATTGTTATTATTGTTATTATTGTTATTATTGTTATTATTGTTATTATTGTTATTATTGTTATTATTGTTATTATTGTTATTATTGTTATTATTGTTATTATTGTTATTATTGTTATTATTGTTATTATTGTTATTATTGTTATTATTGTTATTATTGTTATTATTGTTATTATTGTTATTATTGTTATTATTGTTATTATTGTTATTATTGTTATTATTGTTATTATTGTTATTATTGTTATTATTGTTATTATTGTTATTATTGTTATTATTGTTATTATTGTTATTATTGTTATTATTGTTATTATTGTTATTATTGTTATTATTGTTATTATTGTTATTATTGNTATTATTATTATTATTATTATTATTATTATTAATAATAATAAAATTAATTTCGTAAATCTTTTAGCGGGACGTCAGTATACACTACAATGTCATAGAACTTTTCTTTCAAAACTTTTAAAACATTAATACCAAATGGTAAGTCTTAAAATATTTAAAAATGAGTAGATTAAAACAAAGATGGCCAACTGCTCGTTTATTATAAATCTTGTATTTTTAATTAAAAACTACGTTTATATAAGTCTATCCTGTATCTACAGAAAAACAATTATTAACAGCGTACGTAGACAGGTTTTTCAATGGCCTATAAACATACAGGATGCTACACTAAAAAATATATTGTGCTCTGCAACGCTACATTCAATTGTTTTCGCTGCAAGTGTGTCAAGAACATTTTCAAATCCCTTACAACTGTTATTCTTACTGTCAGCACACATTTTGTTCGTCGGTATCTGTCGTACTTAAAAATAGCTAGATGTATAAACATACAATTGTCAATATTCACTTAAACTATAAATAGTTCCTCAATTTAATGTTTAAAATATTTTCTCTTTGTGGAAAGCATAATTTCTCATGAGATTGGCGCTCTTAAAACTGTAAGTAATAATTTGAAATTCACTTATTCGTTTCAATATTCTTTCCTGCCAAAATAAAACTAAAAGTGTAATTCGAGAGAAAT